TACCAGGAGCGCCTTCCTTCAGTCTCCTACACCATTTCCTGCAGTACCACGAGCGCCTTCCTTCAGTCTCCTACACCATTTCCTGCAGTACCACGAGCACCTTCCTTCCTGCCTGCCTCAGTTATGCCGAACGGCTCTCGAATAGACAACAGGGGTGTGCAGATCATGTGCAGAGATGACGGGAGCAGATGCCAGGGATGGCCAAGGGTCCTGAGAAGGCATCAGGGTTCCTGGTACCTCTCACCCAAGCCCGGCCTAACTGGTTTTGCGTTGGCGTGCGGTAGCTGTGGGTTTAAACAGCTTTTGCTGTTGCCCAAACATGCAGTCCTGCACAGAAGACGACGTTCAGTCCGGATGTTGGGGAGATATCAAGGACGACCGGGAGTATTCACCCCCCCGCTGTTTGGGCAGCAAATATGAAACACATGGCCTGAAATGAGTCTATTGATGTTGTCATACTAACTATGGTACTAACTCAGTCAGCATTTTTTTCCCCAAAAGTTTATGTTTGATAAGAACTTTTATATTAATCAAGATTTTTGAGATCTAATACAAGTGTTCCAGGAACAAACAGGGGTATGCTAAAAATACATTGTAGAATGGAGTATGAACGACACCATTTCATTCATACTACAATTCCACTCTGAATTTTCCTTGCTGTTCAGTATACATACATATGCGAAAAATATTCAGAATTTTCACAAGTGCAAAGTTGTGTGTGAGCAGCTGTTTCACTTGGTCAAACCAACATAAGGCCAGATCGCAGAAAACCAAACCTGTGCCCAGAGACCATGGAAATTTCAGGGAGTGTCAACGATCCAAACAATGGAAGAATGAACTACACAGATGCAGTTTACTATTCTTTCTCACTTATATGCTTTAAAAACAGGACAGCATTGATATGCTAAAGGTAGAATATTTCATTAAGAGTGTGTCTGTGTGAGTGCATGCCTTGTGCAAACAGGGCGTGTAACGAGCATATGCCACTGTGACTAAGGTGGACGCTGACACCAAACTGCAAACACCGGTCGATTTTACAGGCCACCTGCTGTCACCAGAACCATAAAATAAGGGGAACTTCATTCTCTTTATGCAGTTCCTCATTGCAAACGGAGATCATGGCATTAAACACAGTAAAGCATGTCATTATCATACAGTATATAAAGAGACAGTAAACGAAGGTGTAGTCTTCCTCGTAATGGCTTGTCCATACATGCATATGCAAAAATATCTGAAAGGATTCCAAGAACTACATACACAACCAATCACATCCATCCTTGTCAGCCACATTAATGCATGAGTATTCTGGCACAAATGAATAAATAAGTGGGCAGGGGGGGTGGGACAGCTAACATTTTCCACATGAAACAAGGCATGGAACCACTCTTTTCGATGGTTATACTTACGTTTTTATTAGTACCATACTACCATGAACCACAACTAAGGCAATGAAAGGATTAGTAAAGCAAAAAGACACATATGCTGTAGAGTCACCAAAAATATTTTTCGCAAATTCTCAGGAAAGAATGTATCAGTGGAATAAGCGAGATGAAACAATCAACCGGCCCCTTGAAAAAAAGTACACTGCAAGAAATAAATCCATTCAAATCCAGTTTTGAAATCAATAAACAGGCGCCATAATTGGAGCAGCTCTGACCCGAGTATTTTAGGTCACTTTCAGGCCACCGGCCACTGCTTCCATTACCACCAATCTTCCTGTAATTCAGAGACCGAAATGTAATGTCACCAGACAAAAATGTCCATTTTTAATAACCTAAGGGCACAACCTCATTCAAGCAAACCACTCATTTGATGGCAATTCGGATAAAAGGTAATGAAAAAACAACACGTTCCAAGGGTCACTGGACCATTCGGGTGCTGCAGAACTGTAGAAGACCTTTCAAAGAAGCAGGAACATGGGGATTTGCCTCGAGCCGCTCCGACATGCCCCTCTGAAGGTGACCTTCTGAAGGAAGTGAAAGCACCAAAAGTCCTTCAGCATCATCTGCTCGCCTTGGGAAGAAGGCGAAGGCCCCAAGGAGTAAGGATGAGGGACGAATCTACCACCAGTTATTCCCTGCAGAACAATCTCAACCATACCCTGAAATCCGGCCCAGCTCTAAGATGTAGGGTGGGCTGTTATTCTCTTGGCAGTAATGAGTGCATCTGTGCAGCAGTTAAAGTAGTCCTACGTAAAAAAGAAAATTTGGCCTGCTTCCTTACAATTATCAAATTATACATATATATATATATATATAAATAAAATTCTGTGATTGGGTCGCAATTAGCCACTGTAAAGAACTGTTGAATTTGTATTTGATGTTGATTATCATCCGGTGGCAACCTCTGCAGATTATTTGGTTAGAACATAAAGGGTAATGATGTCCTCTCAACAGGATGATTTATTAGTCCACATCACCATGCAACACTCCATTCATTTTTTCCGGATGTGACTAAATGTGTATTTTTGGTTTTATTTGCATGTATAGACAACTACTCATCAAGAAATGAATCGCTTTTGTGAGAACAATAACAATGTGCTAGCTGAACTTTTCTGACAGCAGAAAGGGAAAAAAACAAACTTAAATATAAGGGATCCTTCTCAGGAGCCTGACAGCACTTAACATACATCATTCGAGCCAAAGTGTTAAAAAGGACCAGGTCTTTTGTACAGCCAGGCTTGGGTTGGAACAAGTCCGTAGAACTAAATCTCAGAACTAGATTAGATCAGACATCCTAGGGGAAATTCTTAAATAAAAATCCAAGGTTAATGCCTGTGTCACACACCCATACAAGACAGGACAACAGAACAATGAATTTAAAAGTGGTATTGCTGTTTGTTCATTTACAGGGAATAACTAAGACTAATAATCTTGCAGTAGTTCGTCCAGTCCAGGATCCTGGACTGGTTCACCATGCCAACTCTCGCTGAAGACATTAAGTTATTCATTGATTAAAAACAAACTGGATTTACAAACACTCAGTGGTGCCCGGGGTCAAATGCACAGAGCCAAGGGTCTTCAGTAGCCAATTCAGTCATGCTTTGTGCCGTCATTAATCAGCAGATGTCTCACAATGTTAGGAGCCGCAACCTGATGGATACACCACCCTCGGTGTAGTTTCTCCCTGCGGCTTGTTTATTTCACGCTGCTGAGAGCTTAAATAAGCCCCCCCTAAAGTATGCCCCCACTGCAATTGTAGCATAGCTGTTTGCAAGTTAAAAGAATGTCAGATCACACGGTTCACTCAAGTATTCCACTCGGGGAAGACAAGGAGTTGAGGGCAACACAGAAAAAGGAAAACCGGACACACCTTGCGTTTCCTCTAATGAAAACCAGCACAAATAAAACTGACGCAAGACAGATCCTGCCTTAGTTCTTTGATAAAATTATACCACTTTAAAAAGCATCTATACAAAAAATTACTTAAAGCCACCACAAAACAATCAGCTCAACTGGATTTCATTAGTGAAATGACTTTCAGCAGATAAGCCCTGCATGCAGCTTATTAAATGCAGCATCTATGCGTTTGTGAATTAAAGTGAGCTCATTAGCTGTAATGTGATCTGCAGCTAAACTCAGCGTATTTAAAATGCACTAGGTCCATGTGCATATAAATGAATGATTCTAAAACAATAATGATTAAATGGTTAATAGTAATGGCCTTACAGGTTACATCTTAAAAGAGAGAAATTTACGGAAGTATTTCAAGTTCTTAAAACTTGACTTTTTTTAAAATGGCCCCAAAAACTGCTTTTCTATCACCACTGGTACATTTAATAACTATGAAATGAGAGTAACTGAAACCTGACTTTAGATCTCCTCAGCTAGGATGCTATGGGGAGTAATTACAGCTGATCTGTGTTCTTCCCAAGCTCTTGGTAGCCCGGCCCATGTCACACTGAAATCCCGAATTTTATCAAATTTGCATTGAGCTGCAAATTATTCACTGAAAGTAATATCGAATGGAGCCTGGAGCATCAGGATTTTACCATGTTTCTTAATCTGAATGAGATTTTAAATCATTTTCCAGATAGTAACCAAAATTTGGGTCGAAACAGCTCAGCTATGTTCTCTATGGGAAATGAGCCATTTGCCACACTTCTCATGACATTACATTAGGTGTCAGAAGTGGATACAAGTGGTTGAAAACCCAACCTAACCCAGTACCTTTCTTAACTGCATGCCTAACTGAAACTTGAGTTTAGAAACACTAAAAATTATACTGATTATGACACTACGGATAGTAGAATCTTTTCCAAGATTAGTACTTCTTAGAATGTTTTTGTAGGTGCTCCTATAGCCAAAACCATAGACACAGATTCATATTAAATACCTTGTGTTAGTTCGGAGATTTTCACAACCCACATATTGTTTAAATTGGTGCAATTATCTACCTGTGCAAATAACAACTGGCCCTTTGTATTCTGGTGTCAAAGCACCTGAAAATTAAGTATAATTATTGGTAAATGGAAACACTGTGGGCTGATTCTTTCAGTTGTACCACACTGATGTTCTGTGTAGCCTGTTTGCATTTTCACTTAACCTTGTCTTTTTTCCAGCCCAGTAATTTCTTCCTTAACCTCAAGCACAGACTAAAAAAGCGGGCTTTTGAGACAGGCTCCTGCTTATATGAATTGCATGCTGCAGCGTCCATCTTAGCTTAGTCTGGCCTGGTTGACTTGGTCTTCTACGTTTCTGTTCTGTTCACAGTGTATTACCAGGGAAAACATTAATTTTTGAAAGTAGTGATAAGGTGAAATACAGTATATCCTGTGTATTTAATTCTATCACTCCTGTTTTTTTTATAGAAATAAAAGAAACACAATAAGGCCACTGTTTGTTACACACCAGGTTACATCCTTCCCGGAATACTGTCCTGAACTGGACCTCTTCAGGTATGAGGTAAAAGCTTACTTTGTACTCCAAAGGGGAACTGGGGACTCCATTGAAGGTTTCCCATTTCAGTCCAGTGTGCTTTTTAATTTGTATAGTAGTGTGCATGGGGGCATTATCATCCTGGAATATGAGCACGCTGTGAGCGAACAGTGTCCTGTATCACGCCCTCATATTCCTAGGCCATGATATGCAATCATCAACCTTAATGGCGCCCATGAGATGGTTGCCGATTCCAAAATTGCGGTTTGGCATTATGCAAACGTAAACCCATCTGCGTGTAAGAAAACGAATGAAAGATGACTCATTTGTGCTCCTATGTGCCTTTGTGCAATGGCCCTGAATATAAGTGGTTTCGGTATGTCAGCCCTGTCATAAATTCCAGCTTTGTGAAGCTCACAAAGTACAGTGTTTGCTGGGAATGGGATACAGTGGTGCTGATTCAGTTCTGCAGTGATTGTACTTTTGTGGTGCTTGACAACTGTCCCATTACGTGAACATTTATCCAGGGCTGCTTGCGAGTTTTGATTTGTAACCATGATCCCCTATGCCGATACAATCTGCCTGCATTTGCCATCTGCAGTCATGATTTTTGAGACCGTTCCCCATGACTCATTCATTTTGCAGTTTTTGTAATTGATTCATCTGCTATTCAGGCACCAAATACGGGGCTTCTTTGGGACTCTCCTAGTTGCTGCACGCTACTTGGAAAATTCTCACAAAGGGCTGATTGACACATACTTCTATTTGGCATTCAGTGTAATATGAAAATCTTTGTAGCTGTATTTTTAATGGAAATTTCATGACAAGTGAATATGAAGTTATTTTTCATGTGGTGTTTGTTATTGTCCCCACCAGCCTGCATGTTTGACGGCCAAAACAGAAGGTGAAGTTTGTCGATTCACTGCCCTCCTGATGTAGCGTGCAGGCACAGCAGCCCCTAACCAAAAGCTACACCTTTCAAAACGAGGTGATAGCTAGTAAGGCAGTGTTACAGATATGCTAACACTGAAAATGACCATTAGAATACAGAGCTTGATAAGCTGCTGGGGTATTTACTATTTCAGTTCATGCATCATATGAAGCAGTAACAATGGGTGTTGGTTAATGTTGATCAACTCTGCGTCATTAATGGGAGTAACACTGCCTGGGAAACAGCAGTCTACGATGACAGCAGTCTACGATGACAGCAGTCTACGATGACAGCAGTCTGATACTTAATTCAACATTTTTTATGCGGAACAGACAAATTTTATTTTAGTTTATACAAATGTATTCAAATGTAGCTCCAGGAACAGTGAATTACATTCTTTTTTTCCAGCCAAGTCATAATTTCATCATCTGCCTCTTAGTGTCATCCCAGATGTGCGGTTCTGATTAGAGGTCGACCGATATATCGGCCGGCCGATATATCGGGCCGATATTTAGCATTTTTTAATGTATCGGCATCGGCCGATATCCGAGTGCACTACGCCGATTTTCAGACAGGCACGTCTACGGGCAGCCCAGTGTTATTGTTGCTGTGGAACACGTGACCCATGCTGCCTTGTGCAGGACCACAGCCAGAAGTTTTGGAAGAGTCCTGGGATAAAACGGTAAGGCTTAAATTCTGATCTTTCAATGACCTGTTTATTTAAGTAGTTAATTGCTATGAAATGTTGCTTTAAAAGAAAACGCGAATTACGCTATTGGGAACTGGGGTAATGATAATGAGCCTTCAACCAACTGTAGCTTACAGGTAACATTAAGGATCATTGATTCTAATAGAGTTCGTTTTGTGCGCTTATTGGTGGGCTCACAGACGTTTTTTAATCGTTAAAAATCATTTTAATTGTTAACATTTTAATTATTACCATATCAGCCCGATGTTATCAGTTATGTTTTTTTCTTGTGTCGGAGAGTTTCACTCTGTGAGTGTGTGGGGCGGAGCAGGCAGCTCTCAAATACTGCAGCGTGTGTGAGAGTTGCGGTACTCTGCCCTGATCACAGACAGCGCCGTCCTCGGAGACACAGAGCTGCTAAGAACAATGCATGGCGGAGAAAAGTGTTTGTTCGAAAGCGTGGTTACCATTTACTTGAGCTGATGCTGACAATGGTCCTTCTGTGCAACTTTTTTTCATTTGAGACCGGAGATTCAAACAATTTGTCAGACGTCTAGATAAAAAGTGCATGACTTTGCGCAGTTAGTTTCCTCATTAAACATGTCTATCCTTTATACGGGCTTATACGTAGACAACGTCACAATCACTAGGGGCTTTTGTTGTCCTTGCATACAAGGCTGTGCAATACGACAGTTATTTTATTTTATTTTCCGGGATCACTAGATTCTGATTGTGAATTTGGCTTTAAGCTATCTGTCTGCTAACAACAGAAACAACATGTTAGTGTACACTACTCATCATACCTTGATGCACTTAGTGTTTTTTTTTCTTCAAAATGTATTAGAGTGTAATTGTTTTAATGTGCATGGAATACTGGAATTGTAGAATGAATTGAAGATGAAGGTACTATAAAAAAATTCTAACCTTGCATTTATTCTTCTGTTTTAGTAATTGCTGTCTGATGGCTGAACAAAAATCTAATCCTGTATGGCAGCATTTCACAAAGCCAACACCAGGAAAAGCCAGGTGCAATATCTGCAGCAGACTGGTGAGCTTGGGAGCTGAAGAATGAGTTTGCTGCTAAAGAGATTCTGATGCTGCTATCTTTATTGTTTATAAGTTTAAGTTGTTTATAAGTTATTGTGTTTTTGTTATTTAAGTTTATATTTAAATTTACACAAGTCAGTATTCAATAAATGCTAAGTTGAGAAATTTTGTGTATCGTTTGTTATTATTAATGTGATATTTTATCATGCAAATAGAGGGGAAAACGTCCAATTTTCGGCCAAAAAATATCGGCAGCATATATCGGCCATCGGCTGACCCTGACTCCTAAATATCGTCATCGGCATCGGCTATTGAAAAACCCATATCGGTCGACCTCTAGTTCTGATCATGGCCAAAAGGGAAACACGGTCTTGCATATACCTGGCTAGAGTAGCCCAGTCTCGGTCGTGCTACCAGCTAAATATCAACAGGGGTCTGATTGCTTCAGCTCACAATGACATTGTTTAGTCTCCATAAAGCTTAAAAGGTTAAACTGTAGACACACTACCTGCCATGCATCTTGGAGGGTGTGGGGCTTTTGCAAACTGCCACATCGTGATCTATACTTCAGAGCACAAGCCGAAATTGCATAGCACTGTGACGCTATACTACTGATCCAATCATGCCACGCCAGTCCACTCATTCAGAGGGTCCCCAGGGACACTGAAGTTTTGCTAGAAGCTATCAATGAAAATAAGTTACACTCTTTACTGTTTTTGGGGGCTAATGGACTATGCATGTTTCAAAGGCAAAAATCACCATTATCCACCACAGACCTGGTAACAATTTATATGGGTTTAAGAACTTTTCTAATAGCTTTCTGTTACTCGGCATCAACAAGATATCAAATTTTATATGTCAGTAGTTATCTATGGAAAAAAAATAATTATATTGAACTACAGTAATGGTATTTTTCTGGACACTCACAGCGTTACACCATTTAAAGGCACACAAGGGAAAGACATGCGGGCACGTTTTTATACTGCCATCAGAGCACTGCTATTTGTTCACCCTTTCTGTGGGCAAGCAAACAGCAGGCAGGAAGTCAGCTGATAAGACATGAGCCAATCAGCAACAGCAATGCTCAACCACCTGACTACCATAGTCTTCCTGTCATCCTTGGGACGGTTTCCGGCACTCTAAAATCTGAGTGGCGCAAAACTCCATTCCCCCACTCCCCCCTCCCCTCCTTGCCTAACCAACACACACAGGGTAGTTTCTCGTAAACGTACAAGTGAAAGTACAAAAATTGCCAGAGCCTCACATCTGAGGTCAGTTTGTAGCGACAGCATCGGGCAGGAAATGCTGTCAGTTTCACAGCAATCCAACCTTGGTTTTTGGGCCACAAACTCATTACGACCTCACTGACTGGAAATCGATGTGGCACACCTAAAAATTTCATTCTTTCTGACTTCTTTTCTCCTTCAGCCTCAAAGCATATCAATTAATATTGTTTTCACATGCAGAAGACCATTTCTTTATAAAAAAAAAACAACAACAAGGAAATAGAAATACTGCATTAGCAGTAGTTTCATTTACTTCAGCTTGTTGTCGACTTAATTTGAAGAAAGTCACTTGCCTTACCACTGCTCAGGTCAGGGTTAGCATGTAATACCAGGACACTCCGCAGAGAAAGACAAGAAACCTGCAAGATATACAAACAGGAAATATAGTGTTTAAAGGCAGTGGTGGTGCTTATATGGAAATTTCTAACTCTAGACAGACAAAGGGACTGATACATAGACCGATAAATCAATATATAAATAGGATGTAGTACACATAATATATATAAATAGTTCTATAATGTCTGCATTTATTCTTGTATTTTTTTTCCATTGAATTATAATTAAATGCAATGTTAAAACAGCAGCGTGTTGAAGATGCATATGGCTTTAAACCTAAACTTTTTTTAATCACATGACACTGCGGTTCCTTTTGCACCTGGTATTGCTCTCCTGATGCTCCCACTTTCTGAATTTGTGCAGGACCTGTGAAGCCTAAACCCTGCCAAGAGGAATCTGCATAAAGAATGCATGCTGAACAGCCAAGGTTCAGAAAGCTTTGGGTGAGGAGACCCACAATCCTCTCCGAGTGATTCACTATGCACAGGTAAACCATCTCCACTGACACTGAAAGAATATTGGTTCTGGATCTCGACCAACAAATGCTTTGTCACTTCCTGTCTCCAGATCTAGCCTTTCCTTGCTGAGGAGAACAAAGGACTCCGGGTCTGATCAGTAAGCAGGTAGCCAGGAGTCAGAAGTACTCAAAGTGTGGTAGCATGTTCTGCTAAGAAAGCTCACATGCGTCAGCATATAAGAGGCCGTGAAAACCTGCAAAACCGCAAATTATAATACGAAAGAGTATACTTCAACATAGAGTACTTTGGAAGAGTATACTTCAACATAGAGTACTTTGGAAGAGTATACTTCAACATAGAGTACTTTGGAAGAGTATACTTCAACATACAGTATACTTTGGAAAACCAACTGCTACAAACCAACTGCTACAAAATCATGCTTATGCTGATCCGGGACGAGGCTGCATGTGATCCCACACTTGGCACATGGTCATCTATACAAAAAAGAGGTGCTGGACATTGAAGAAGCATCTATGGAGAAACATGAAAGATAAATGTATGCAGCTGTAGTAAGAAAAAATCTCTTTGCGAGAACCAGTGCAAGCAAGCACTGTCTGGAAAGCAAACCAGTGCAAGCAAAGCCCACATTTTTAAACACCTCAACTGGACTCAAGCCTTCAGTCAGGCAAGGTACATAATTACTGCTATTACTATCACTGTGGTGCTGATTAGCAATCCAAATGTATGACTCTGGTTGTAAATCTCTGTGTTGGGGGGGGATCTCCTTTACAAAGTTGTCGGTTTACACATGTGAACTAGTTAGCTTCTGGCCACCATCAGTCAATGATTTAGACCAAAATGGAAGATAAGTGTAGAGTCAGCAATCACCAGGAGCAAATACTGGGAGTGGCGTTGATGGCTTTAAAAGGGGGGGGGATGTCGGGGGCTTCAGTGTCTCCATCTGTCACATATCATAACCGTGTATCATCTTGCATGTTGCATTGCTAACTTACAAATTAATCTGTAGAAAGTTTTGTTTTTTTAATAAGACTCTTTTAGAGACAATGACTTGTGGTCTTAGATACCAAAAGATATCAAAAAGACAATGAGGCAGTAGTCAAATTAGCTTGACGTCTATGACAAATGAACAACACAAATTATTACACTTGGTTTCATTTAAGACCAGCTGACTTACAGTCAGCGATGTATAGATGACAGTGACAGTGGGAGGCACGGCAATGTTAAAGATCTGGGTTTTAGTGATCCTCTATGTTACCATGGAAACTGATCACAGACTAACTAATGAAGCCAAATTGGCCCAAATTGGACAAATTACCTTGTTAAGATTTTATAGTGTCCACTGGGTGCATTATTTCTGTTACAAGAGAATACACGGAGGATGACATGGTAGCATTCTGGTTCTTGTCTTTACTGTGTTTTGGCTTATTCTTCCCACAAGTATGAGGTTCTAATTGAGTATTACAGCACATAACCACCACTCTGTACACAGAAAGCATAAACTAAACGAGGAAAAAAAAAAAGCGATGGTTTATAAGCCAGAATTTTATACATCCCGCTTGTTACACATTTCCTGCGTACATCACAGCTGTAGGTCACTTTATTCAGTCTCTAATGTTCACCATGGCTAACATGCCCACCAATTGTCCATGGTGAGTGTGCCCCCACACATTTTGTTTTCCAGTTAGGGTGCCCCCAACACATAATATGAAACCTATTATGTGTGACAATTTACCGATACCTACGTGAAACAGCGCGTACGACCTAAATGTCAATATGTTTGGTAATTACTTCCCCTATTACTCACTTTTGTGAGCTATCCCTTTAAAAACAACAGCAACCAGGAGTCATATTCAGCCACTGGCTTCCACATGGTCTAGACTTCAATCTTTAACCTCATAACCAAAAGCAGCTGCTGGGCGAGTGACAGGCAGATTGTATTGAGCGACTTGCTCTGTCTGGCTCCCTGAATTAAGTCCTATACAGGGATATGAAGTGACGTAAGCAGTCCTAGCTTTAACAATTAAGCACTTTTAAATAATCAAATCCCATTTTAAGATATAATCTTGTGTGTACCGTAAAACTGACTATTAGTTTTCAGGGAGCCGTGGCGATATTCTTAATTTTGCAGGGTTACAAAAAATTGTGAATTTATCATTAATCGAGATAAATGTTTAAAAATATCGCAATACTGATTATAGGTCATATCGTCCAGAGCTAATCAAACCTGCTTTAAATCAGTTTCTGACAGTCGGCTGGAAACATGCTTCATTTGTGGGGAAAACAGCGTCTGCTAAATAATGGTAATGAAAACAATATTTAAAAAGCATATTTCTCAAAATAGAATAAAAAAGCTCACATGCGGCGTGGACATCATGCTCTTCTCAGCACCAGCAAGAATTTCTGTAAGTCTGTATTACTTAAGTTGCACAGCAAAAGTCAAAACTAGGGACTCCACCTATGACAACATGATGTTATTTCCAACTTTCCAAGAAGATTGTTGTAAATGTTTTATTCTAGACATCTGATATCTAATTTCCAAGAATTCCTCCTATATGCAGACAGTACATAAAGATTCCAATGTGATTAACAAACACTGCAACAACACTGGGATTTCTGCTTTACGTGTAGCCACCCGATACATGCTACACTCATGTTGCTAAAGCAATGCTTAAGTGGTATAATCTGGTAGATGGTGCATTGGAGATAAAATTAAGCAAAGTCATGCTTGGATATCGTATCTGACAGGGAATGCTTACGTGATAACTGAAGTGCTTGATGGAGGAGTCACATACTAAATTGGCATCCATATTGTTCTAATAAATATGTTGTAGTGCTTAAGTACAAAGCTTTCAATTCCAGTACATCTACACACCTACTCATCAATGCAACCTTCAACACAAATTATTACTAGATTCACCCCTTGTAAAAACGTGTCGCATAGTAGTGGTGGACGTGGACACCGCATTACATTCTCTGTGTACATACACTGGGTTGAAGTCTTGGAGCTTAATTCTGCACAAATGAATAAAATTTATACCCTAATTCATAACACAGCCCTAAAATGGATTCTTTGATAATACAGCACAACAGGACAGCACCAGAGCATGATAGACTTAATGAAACCTACCCAGCAGCCTCTAACAGCATATTTCACATTTATGGCAATTTAATACATTTTCATACCCCCCCCCCCAACAACTACTCTGAATCCATGGCATTATTCTGGGTTAAATGATCACAAAACTGACAGAAGCCTTAGCTTCCTTGGTTTACTAATGGATCACTTGGTCTGCAGTGTCAGGAGACCTGCCGGTGCTGAATGAATGCTGGAGACTGAGAAAGCCTCTTTCAGTCTTTACTTCATTGTGTAACATCATTCGATCTCTATGTTACGATTATAATTATTTATAATCATATCATGGCTACAATGTGCTACATTTTACAAAGACTACAAACCATTTTTCTAAGGAGTTTTATGGTCTCCTGGGAAATATTCTGACAGGACGGGGAATTTCAAAATGCAGACCACCACTAGGGACTGGTCAGTGTGCCAACACTCAAAATTATCAGCCTTCTCCCTCAGCTTCCTGAACCTCTGTTCTAACAGAGTACAGTTTAATGTCACCTCCGTACACTGTCCTGATTAATAACAGCCACCCACCACATTATTCTTGGAATAAAAGTTGGGACTGGCAATGACACACCACCCAGACAGCCTTCTTTACTGGAAGCTTGAGGTAATCAACAACATTTTACATACTATACAAATATAGCACAGAATATTTGTCTGATCTGCTTTTAAAGTAACTCTAAGCCACCTATTTCTTTGGTGCCTTAATAGCAGGACTAAACTAGTATCCCTGTAACAGCAACACCACGTCCAATGACATAACCCATAATCATCACACCTGTAGTCATATTTCAACAGCTGCATAGATGCCTTTAGTTTGCACTGTGCCAGCTAAAGGTGAAACCATTCCCCACTGGCCATTATTTCTGAATTATTATTCTTATTTCTGTATTCTTATCCATTTTCAATGTGAGACTCAGCTCTCTGATCAATAACGGTTGTGAGCTTTAGAGGTTTGATCGTAGTTACTAAATGGAACAAAGTCCTCTGCAGATTTTCAGACCATTATTTAAGGCAAATATGGGACATCCTTGCTCCTGCAAATTATACAATGTACTGTGCCTGTCCAAAATGTCTCTAAGGTGCAAGGGTCACTGGATATGGACTGAAAATTGCTTTATCACTGCTAGAAGAAAAAGGGCAGGTAAAATCCAGCTGTCACTGCATACACAAGATAAAGTGTACACTCAAATCTACAGAGGATAAGCAACTGAACTGCTTTCAATGCGTCGCTGTACTTTTGAAAATGCAGCACCGACTGCGCAGCGATCACACGGGTGTGAAAACCTCACTGGGCCAGACTTAGGAACAAGTCACATGGATTCTAAATGTTATCACTGTGCTGTTGGCAAGTAAGAGGGGATTATGGAGAGCAAGAAGGGGATTTAAGAAAACTGTCTGGTTTCCTTTACAT